CAGCACAAAAACTCCATGGTCATTTGGATGGGAACAAGATCAAAACGTATAATAAAGCTTTGCAATTGATAAAGTTCTTATCACATAACTTCTTAAAGTGCTTCATAGTGTAAGTGTTGTCACATATAATGGCTGTAGTTATCAGTAAACAGCAGCCAATTTTGCACACTAGGTCCCACAAACAGCCAAGAAGGCAATACTTAGTCTATCTGGAAGATTGTTGGCCAGGACACCAGAATAAACTCACTTCTCTTTTCAAATAGTATCATTTGAGCCACAATCCCAATTCCACTGCTGTTCTGTCCTCTTGCTGGTCAGACATCAAGGCCTGGATGAGCGCCAACTTTCTGCAGCTGAATGTTGATGAAATGGAAGCCAATCATCCTTGGCTCCCGTCAATGTCTTCTCATCTTTGGTTCTCTGTGGTTCTGACCTCCTTAAACTCCCTGGCTTATCCCTGAGATTCACTGAACCAGTCTGCAACCTAGGCAGCAAGTTCAATCCCTCGGCTATCCTCCCTTTCCCATATCTATTCCCTAACCAGGAACACTTTCCTCTACCTTCACCACATCACCCATCTCCAACCATATGTCATACACAGCCAAAACCCTTATTCACCATTAGTCACCTCCCACCTCGATTTTTCTCCCTCCTCACCCGTTTCCCCAGTAACACTATACACAAAATCCAGTTAATTCAAAATTCTCTGCCTGTTTCCTCACTTGCACCAAACTCCGCACCCCATAACTCCAGTCATTGCCAGGCTCCACTGGCTCCCTATTTTAGAACAGGAGGATTTCAAGATGCGCACACGTGTACAAATTATTTCATGCCTTGGCACCTCCCGACTTATGATAAATATACAATAATAATCCTTGCATTTTGATATAGAGCCTCATCACATCTTTGAGACATCTCAAAATGCTACAGAATATACTGTAAATAAATTGACTATATATTTTGTGGGTGAAGCACAGCAGCCAATTACGCACAGCAGTGTCCAACAAACAATTGTGGATTGAGTGACCAAAGTATTATTTTTTTAAAAAAAATTGAAGGGATTATTACATCCGGAAAAGCGATCGCCAATCGACTAACAGATGGGCTCTTACTCACTGCTAGGTAAGCAGAGGTGTGTAGAGTAAGGAAACTTGCCCAATGTTTTGCCCAGCACAGGAATCGAACCTAGGTCATCTCGCTTGTGAGGTGAGTGCTCTAACCATTACATTTCAGGAGGTTCCACATCACCCAAAATCCTGTTTATACTAAGTCCTCTACCCACTGCCTTTGCAGTGCTGAGCTCTAGCACTGTATGTCTCTCGTCCCCTCACCCCACCATCAGCAGCCGTGCTTTCAGCAACGAAACCTCAAATCTATGGAACTTTTTGCCTCAATTGCTCTGCCATGACCCCTCCTTGGCCGTCTTCAGATCACATCTGAAGACTTTCCTCTTCGATTGTGCCATCCGTCTTATTCAACGTACAGCATCTCCGACAGTGCAGCACTTCATTGGAAAGTAAGCCTGGAACTCCAAGCCACTGACCCAGAGAAATGAATACTACCAGCTAAACATGCATAATTCATGGAAAGCATTTAAAATTTTCTAAATGGATCACACCTACTGAAATGATGTATTATTTTGAGCTGGTGATTCACAAATAGGCACATCAATGAGAATTACACGTGTAAGTGCAATGGTGCAGCAGGAATTGGCCTTTTGTCATGGGTTTCAATTGTACTGTGCAACAGAACCCTCTCAAACATACACATCCCTTTAGATGTTCACTTTGATGTGAAGAGCTTTCATTGAAATGATCGTCTTGAGTATTTATAGCAATAGCAACAAAAATACCTAGTTTGAAAAGTAAAATATTTTGAATAAATACAATAATCTCAATTTATTGATTTAATTGATGTGCCTTTTTTAGATATGACGCAAGTCAGGTGTATCCAACTTCCAGTTATTGTGAGTCCAAAGTGGACTCCACACTCTATTTGGGGAAAGGGGGCTTCAAATATGATTGGCCTGTAGTTTACAATGCTGCCCATGTACTACCCAAATTCTCAGCAAATGATATTAGGACTAAAAATCAGGTACACAATTATTCCATTAGTGGAAAAAAAATTGCTTACTTGAGTTTTAATATAAATAATAATCCTTGCGTTTTGATATAGAACCTTATCACATCTTTGAGATGTCTCAAAGCGCCACATAGAATATAAACAACAAGATTACATTTGTATAATGCCTTTCACATCAGGAGGACGTCCGTCCCAAGGCGCTGGACAGTGTACAGCATTTTGGACCCGAGCTGGGATCAGGAGGGGAGAAGGGAGGGGAGTGGCTGATGGCATGGTTGAAGAGGAGGGTCTTGAGGCGGGACTTGAAGGAGGCTAAGGAGGGGACAAGGTGGAGTGACTGGGGGATGGAATTCCAGACGTTGGGGGCAGAATGGCTGAAGGCTCTCCCGCCATGGTGGGACGGGTGGGTCAGGGGATGTGGAGCAGGCCAGAGCCGGCTGAGTGGAGGGAGGGGTTTAGGAGGTCACAGAGGTAGGATGGGGCGAGGTCATGGAGGGCTTTGTAGGTGAGGACCAGGATCTTGAACTGGATCCTCTGAAGGATAGGGAGCCAATGGAGTCAGGTAAGAATGGGGGAGATAGGGTCACGGAGTTTAGTGCGAGAGAGGTCAAGGGCTGCAGAGTTCTGGATTATCCGCAGCCTGTGGAGGGAGGAGTTGGGAAGGCTGACAAGCAGGGCCTTTGCATAGTCGAACCTGGATGAAGGCATGAACAAGTTTCAGTGGCCTGAAGTGTGGCGGAGTCATGCGATGTTATGGAGGTGAGGGAAGGCGGAGCGGGTTATGGCTTGTATGTGTGGGAGAAAAGTTGAGGATCGAACAAGACATGTAGGTTCCTGACTGGTTTGGTGAGTTGAAGTGTGCAACCATGGAGGTTGATGCTGCCAGAGCCTGAGGTGCTGAGGCGCTGGTGGGAGTCAATCAGGAGGGCCTCAGTCTTGTTCACATTCAACTGTAGGAAATTTGCCCTCATCCAGGACTTGATGTCCGACAGGCGGTCTGTCAGGACAGCAGTGGTCCTGGAGTTGAGGGTGGAGGCAGAAAGATAGAGTTGGGTGTCATCCGCATACATATGGAAGTTGACCCCATGTCTGCGGATGATGTCACCAAGGGGGAGCATGTAGATATTAAAGAGAGGGCCAAGGACAAAGCCCTGGGGGATGCCAGACGTGACAGTGCGAAGGCTGGAGGAGAAACCGTTAGAGGCAACAAAGTGGAGAAGGTGAGAAAGATAGGAATCAAACCAGGCAAGGGCAGGTCGCAAAGATTAAGTAATGAGGAGAGGCAATGTATGAGGATGGAGTGGTCGACAGTATCGAAGGCGGCACAGAGGTCGAGGAGGACAAGGAGGCAGAGGGAGCCCTGATCACAGATGTTCAGAATGTCATTAGTGACTTTGACCAGAGCTGTTTCCGTGCTGTGGGCAGCGCGGAAGCCGGATTGGAGGGGTTCAAAGAGGAAATGGTGAGAAAGAAAGGAGCAGAACTGGGACGCGACAACTGATTCCAGGATCTTGGAGAGGACTGGGAGGTTAGAGATGGGGCGGTAGCTGGAGAAGAGGGATGGGTCCAGGGAAGGTTTTTATCAGGATGGTAGTGATGATGGCTGTTTTTAGGGGGGTGGGAACTGAACCGGTGGACAAGGAATATACTGTAAAGTGAATTGACTGTACATTTTGTGGGCACCAGCCAAATGCACTCAGTAGTGTTCCAAAGCAGTCGTGGATTGAAATGGATCAAATTTTTTTTTGAAGGAATTATTACCTCCAGAAAAGCGATGTACCAATCAACTAACAACTGGGTTCCTACTTCCTGCTAGGTGAACAGAGGCATGTGGAGTAAGGAACGTGCCTACCATTTCGCCCTGCCCAGGAATCAAACCCAGGTCTCTCGCTTGTGAGGCGAGTGCTCTAACAACTGAGCTATGGGACTCCATAATAGACTTAGAGCATCACAGTAAAGTTGTCAACAAAAGGATGGTAGCCTACTCATGCAGAAGTTCTACATTGATCTGGTTCTACATATTGTTCAAGTTGCCATTGATATAAAGGAGGACCATCTGGGAGAATGCAATGCAGCTAAAAAGCAATAGGAGAGGGATAATCATAAATAATATGATATAGCATTTTTAATGTTGAAAAGAAGTCTCAAAGCACTACATAGAATTTACTGTATAGTACATGTATTTGAGGCAAACACAGAAACCAATTTGCATACAGCAATATCACACAAACAGCCATGAAATGATTGACCAATGTTATTTGCGGGATCGCCAAGACACCAGGAGAAATACTATTTCTCTTTCAATACAAAAATTCAAAAAAAAATCTCACTCCCTGGAACTTCATCCTTTCAAATACTCCTCCCTCACCTCTTTCAAGTTTGGCCTCAAGATCTTCCTCTTTGACCATGTCTTTGATCATCTGTCCGCTCCCCAACCCCCTCGGCTTCCCACCCCAACTGAGTTCCAAGCCAAGACTGTCAAGCACCTTGGGACATCCTCTCGATAATGAAAAGCACTGCATAAATGTAGAAATGTAATATCTTTCACATCTACCTGAACAAGTAGACCGGAATGTAGTTTAACAGTTCATCCAAAGGGCGGCACCTCCAACAAATCAAGGCACCTTCTGCATTGCACTGGAGTGCTAGCCGTTCAAGACCTAGTTCAAATTTGTTGACATGGGACATGAACCCATAACCTTCTGACTCGGAGGCGAGAGTTAAATTACAGCTCAGTATATTGGGAGGCAAAAATATTAATGATTCCAGTTATGAATCTTTACTGCAATGTAAGATCTGTCACATAATATCAGTTGACGGTCACATAATTTCAGTTGATGGTCACAAAGTGCAGGCATAGACCAAGTACAAAAGATGTCTATAGAATTTGATTGGAACGGAGTACACATTATACGTACACTCGAGCTTGTCCTCAGGTCGCCCTCCCTCCAGTAGGGACAGATAGCAGACAATATCCTTCAGCTGGACCACTTCTGATTCATTGATGCTGGTAAACGAAGAGGTTACCGACGGAGACGAGCTTTCTTTAGTCACCTGAAGCCCACTCTTTGTGTCAGAGTTCTTGAGGCCTATAAAATAAAAATGGTGCATAGTTATATTTCTTCAAGTGTCTTTGGGAGTTTTATTTGACCCTTCCACTAATTCTGGCCGGGCGATGGAGTGGGGAGTAGGTATTGGTGAGGGGAAAACTTTAGCTCAGGCAAGAGAGACTCCAACACGCATCTTGGCAGAAATACCATGAAAGAGCTTTTTATAGGATACTTGTTAGCTGCAGATTTATTTGGAGAAAAAGTAGGGAAATGGATTATCAACATGGGAAATTGAAATAGGAAGAGGCTATTCAGGCCATTCCACCAATTTGTTAAATTTTGCCAGATAGTTGAATCCCAATACCCCATCTTTTCACTGTACCCCATCCTTTAATTATTTCACCAATTTAAACATCCCTATTGATTCCACCTCTACAGGTTTCCGGGCAGAACATTCCATATTTTCCTAACCCTCAGTGGGAAGGAATGCTTCCTGACCTGTCCGTCTTGGTTAACATTTTAAGGCTCTGCCCCTTGGAATTAATTGCTCCATGAAAGGGAAGAACTGTCTACTATCTAACCTGTCAAAGCTTTATTTATTATGAATACCTCAATCAAATCATCTCTTAACTCTCTTAGCTTTAAAGAATACAATACCAATCTACCTGCTCATCATAGCTGAGCCCATTCAACTCAGGTATTAACCTGGTGAATAGTCGCTGGACACCCGCCAAGGCCAATATCTCCGTACTAAAATCACATATTCAAAACTGAATACGTTGCTCAAAATGAGGTCTGAACATTGTCTCTATAGCTTGTGAAGGACCTCCTTACTTTTATATTCCAGTCTTCTTGTAATAAATGTCAACAACCCATTTGGTTGCACTGCTTTGTTATTTTCTGCATTGTGAATTAGATTTTTAGGATCCATGAACTTGAACTTCTCAATCTCTCTGCTTATCTACCCCTCCTAATGCTTCCACAGACATAATGGGCACAAGGTTTAGGCCAAATAGCCCACTGTTGTTTGTTTTAAAGCATCCCATTTCATTCAACAGCAATAATAACTTGTATTATATAGCTCCCCTCACGCAGGTTAGAGTCCCAGGGCATTTTCAAGTAACTGCGCAGTGCATATGTGCACAACCCAAAATCTGCAGGACATTCTGATATTGTTTAACCGTTTACTGTAATTGTTTCAAAGAACTTGTCCCCAAATCTTTAGCCACCCTGATTTAAAAGCAACACCTTTGGTTGCACATAACCACAGAGGATGATTTCTAATGTGAATAGTAGCCAAATGTCTCAAAGCTGCTGTAGCTACCCTTGTAGATTAAATTTGACACAAAGAAATGGAAAAAAGTTCACAGATTGATGTTTATAATGGTTTGTATTATATACCCATTGATCCTCGAATCTACAAGATAGAGAAATGCCATACTCTGTCCCACCACCTGGTAGCAGCATAAACTTGGTTTACTAACAGTTTCCAAAATAGCACAGTATTTGCGTGCCTTGCAGGCACATCATGAACTAATCTTCCACACCTTGCGTGGTCCTAAAGGACACTCTTTCAATCAAAGATTTAATTACAGTAAAAATGCTCATCGTACTACATTATCTTTCAGCAGCTCATGTTAAAATGACAAAATGTGACAGCCTACATCAGAACTCTGCACACAGTGAGTTTTCCAAAACATCTTTACTGGATTCTTTTTAAAAAAATGAACTGGTGAAATAAGTTGCTTTACTTTCGATTTAGACATAAGCACTTTGTAGAGAGTCATCCTGGAGCACTCCTTCATTCTGCTACTATAAATCAATCAGCTCCCACCCAACTCAATGGGAGGGCAAAACAATCCCCTCATGTTGACCTGGCCAAGTTCAGTTTGTAAGGGCACCAGTTCCAGATCTGTATAAGAAACAGCCCGTGGTCCTTCCATCCCAGCAAGCACCCTGCATCAGTGTGTTTTTGTAGCCAGCGTGTTGTGTGATTAATGAAGATGGAACATATCCTCTCTTTCCAAATTCTACTCAAAGTGCAGCTGAGTAAACACCTTTCTGTTTACTCTGCACAGTTTAGGCCACACAAACTGCAGATAGCTCAGAGCGCGGCACAAGGAGGCTTGTTGCTGTAAGGAAACAAACTGGGAGAAAAAAAGCCTGATAAATTGTTTTTAAAGTGGTGCATCAATTGTGAGCTTCAGTGCTTCGCTCAGACCCCTAAGAGCAATGTTTTGGCTGCTTAAAAAAAACGGATTCCAATCCAGAAAAAGAAAACCATTCCTTAAAGTACCAGCTTTTGCAAAGTTCAAAACTCAGTAGGTTTGGATCATGGCTGGTGACTATGCATCCATTCTTGGATCACTTAAAATCTTAACATTTATCCCACCGAGGCCATAGTTTCCTCTATATATGGTGACTCCTCTACAGATACAAATGTGCACCAGAATATGGATATTTCAAGGACCATCTCGAGACCTACCTCTTTGACTACTGCTGCCGTCTCCAGATGAGGTGTCAAACCAGGACTGTGAAGAACGTTGGAAAGTCATCCCAACATGAAATATATATATTTTTGATATTATATATAAGGACGTCCTCCTGACGTGAAAGGCACTATACAATGTAATGTTGTATATATATTATACACACACATATATATACACATATATATATATATTGCACCAGCACATAAACAACTGTTTCTATGTTTTTTTTCTGAAGCCTGTCCATGGGACTGAAGGCATGCTGCCTCTTGCTGTTTTACTGGAGCCAACAGAGCACTCCTCAATACCAAATTGCCCACTTGGTGGGTGTCGATGAAGAAGCAATTGAAGTGCTGTGCAACTCAAGCATACTAAACCATCAACTGCGGGAAAGCAGAAATCAAGAGTGCTAATTGCTTCGAATTGGCTAAGTGAGTCCCGGCTGTGCTCACCTGTGGGTCTGCCCTGCTTGCTGAGGTCGCTTGAAATTTTTTAGTTTGTTTTGGCGGCAGATTTTCACTTTCAAATAAGTAGAGAAAATCTAGTCGACTTCCTGATCATTCATGTTGAAATACCACTATCAGGTAGGGGGAAAAAAATGTTTAGAGCAGGGATTCCCTTGGACTTCACATTCTACCATTGTGCCAAGGGCATAGGAACTAGAGCCTGAACAAATCTCACTTGAGATTACAGTTGATGGACACTCTAAGAGCTAGTGGATCTCAAAGTGGATCACAGGATTTACTGTAAAATCCATGGATTGTATATTGTAGGCAAATACAGCAGCCAGTTCACACTTAGCAATGCCCCATAAACAGCCATGAAGAAGTGAATGGCCAATTTTATTTGGAACACCAGGAGAAACTCTCTTCTTTTTCAATAGTACGATGGGATCTTTCACATTCATCTAAACCTTGGTATCTCATTGAAAGGACTGGAGGGTCAGCATTGGAGGGTCAGCCTAGACTATGCGAGGTCAAAGTACAAAGTTGTTACAAGAGGTTTGAATCCACAACTTTCTGACTGAGGCAAAAGTTAAATTGAGCCTCAATTAAATTAACAAAGACTCACCAACTCATTGCCAGCACATTAAAATAAGTTTGCATACATCCTACAGAAGAGCATAGCATTTGCACCACATAAAACATTAAAATCAAGAGGACAGTTTGCCCCTTTAGGAATTGTTCAAGCTCTTCATGCTGTCTGGAAACAGAAGTCCTGGATACGTGCTGATTTAGAGGAGCTGATGTGCTTACCTCCAGCGGGGAGCTGAGAGCTGTTGGAATTCCTCTCCTGTGATGAAGGGCTTGGGGAGGACTTGTTCCTGAATGACATGAAGAGATGCTGACAGAAGTCATCAGGCAACTCTGCCTCCAAGAATGTCTTCATAAACAGCTTGAAGCCTTCAAAGTCTATTGGCTGTGAGTTAAAAACAAATTTAAGAACATGAGACTCCCAATTTTAAAAAGAAAATGCAGAGTCTTTGAAGCCAAGCCATCTGTATTTTTATTCTAAACTATCAATCAGAACTTGCAATGCTGCAATGGCACCTTTCAATCTTTTCATGTTCCATAGAGGACCTGAGCTATATCACTCAAGGAACAAATAAATGAAGCCACATGAACTTTGAGTCTTAAAAAAAAGGAGATTTTTCTAAAATACATAAAATCATTTGTAAGTGAATTGGTCAACTTTTTCTTTTAAAAAAGTAGAAGGTAAACTGTACATATTATGGTTAAGATAAGCAGTGTTTAGGAAAACTAACTTAAGAGGTCTGTTGCTTGAATTAATTGTTCAGCTGGATGGCACACCACCTTTCCTTGCTATGCTCAAGGTTTAAATCCAAAACGAGAAATCTGGTCCTAAAAATCAGTAATAAGCCAGCTGGAAGTGAGATGACTGACAATATCTCAGGCATTTCAGCACTCTCTCTCCTGGGGTGGAGAGTAAACCTCCCAGAGAGACACTTGCTGAGAACAAACTCATAGCTTGTGCATTTAATGAGATGGACCAGATCACGTCCCTGCGGTTACATAATTAGTTCCAAATCCCACAAACAATAACTTCTACAGATCCATCACTTTCGCTAAGGAATCATTAAGATGATTTGACATTTCGTAACACCTTCAATCCAATAAATTCTCACATCAAATCTATCAAAACAGTGGAATTTTAGTATGAACTCCTTTCTCTACCGCAGAATTAATTGATTCGGCCAAACACTTTCAATTTTTCTGGGTGTTTTTATTATTAATCATATAAATACCCTGTTTCAGCAAGGATGAGCTTAAAAATTCCTTTTTGAAAAAAGGAAGTAACATTTGAGTTAATGTGGGGTGGGAGAAAAAGAGGGAGAAAGGGAGAATTATTAGACTGGAATTACAATATTTAACAATATTTGATGTGAATTATCACATAATATCTGCTATGAAGCACCATTTTTTGTTACAGCATTATACTTTAGCAGAGGCTCCTCTTGAAAGGAGAGAATGAAACACATAAAAGGCATTCCTCTGCTCTGTGAAGCCACATCCTTGACAGTGGCCAAGTTATAAGAGGAATATCCAGAACCATTTGCAATGCTGAGTCGAGACTCCCTAAGTATCAGCACATAAAAAACATTTGAAAACGTAAATAATGAAACTACATTCCCCAAGTTAGAGATTCTGGAGAGAACAGACATCTGAAGCAAGTGCAACACAATAGCTGCTGAATGACTTGGTTGAGATAAAAATAAATTGTGTATTGAAAGAGACCAATAGCTTTTCTATCCACTGTATAAAAGATAACTCTTAACCCTTGCATTTGCATATTATGCCTTACCACATCGTCCAAATGTCTCAAAACGCTTCACCGGATTTCACTGTAAAGTGTAGTGACGTTTGTAGGTGAATCCAGCTGCCAATTTTGCACACAGCAACATCCCATGAACATCCAGGAAGTGATGACCAATTTTATCTGGGAGCATTGTTTGCCAGGACATTGGGAGAAACTCCTTTCTCGATAAATTCCATGGAATTTTTAACGTCTACCTGAACAGAAAGACTTGACCTTGGTTTAAGGTCTCATCCAAAACAGTTGGAAATATTAAGATGAGACTCCAAATCAAGTGACTCCTATTGCTTAAGATAGTCAAATTCTGACTGAAACATGTTCCAAATAATGGAAATGTAGCCATGTAGCACTTCCATAAATGGGCAATATCTGCTATGCAGTCTTCCTCACTTATGTGTCCCCAACACACCTTGTAATGAAATTGTTTAACAATTACTTTTTCTTGTGTTATGTTTATATTGAACAGGTGTTTCATTTAAAGGCGAGTACATTTTTCTTCTACTATCAGCATCTTGCCAGTTTTCTCCCATTAAGTTCTGTGTGCTGTTTTTCGTTACTGAACTAAATTTTTCATTCGTCTGATAGCCATAGCTTGTTTTTCATGATCCCATCTGCCTGTTCAAGGCAATGTCACAACTGCAGTAAGAGAGGAGAGTTTCTCCCAGCATCCTGGCCAGCAATCCCCCAGATAAAAAATGATCCCACATGGCTGCTTGTGGGACATTGCCGTGCGCAAATTAGCTGCTGCTTTCACCTACAGAATTACTGTCACTACACTTTACAGTAAATCCTACAATAAGCAGCAACAGATGGAATCATTGTCCTAGCATTTGCACCAGATTTGCTTATTTTAAGTGTACTTTTCAAAGCAAAGAAGTTATTCATGATATTAAATTCTGGAAGCTTAGAAATGTGCAAATGTACGCTGGACTTGAATATAGATGGTTCATTTATGGCTCTTTTCATGTAATTCCCTATGGATGTTTCACTTGCTCCTCTTTCTTAAATAGAAAAAGTAAGATTCAGTTGCAAGTCTGAATAAGAGCATTTCTTAAAACATTCTTTCCATTTTAATCACACTCCCAAGAGGCAAAAAAAAGCTTTTACAGAACTGCAAGCACAAATTTGTGACATAAAATTTGTTGGAAGAGCATCTGTGAAGCTTCTCTATTAAAATTCAAAACTGTTTTTAAAAATAACCATTTAATACATAAAATTGTCTATTTTGCCCATTCATGATTTGTACCCATTATTAATAATGCAAGTCAAAATTGTTCTCACAGATGAAGACGTTCAACCCAAGCAGCCAAACCCATCAGTTCATTCTCTCCAGATTCAACATTGGTTATGCTATTCACAATCTGAAGTTGAGGTCTAATACATTTTGCCTGCAGTCAATATCATGGCAGTCTAGGACTCTGAATCTCATTACCATAATTCACCTTCTGAGACCAAAATAAATTGGCAAAGAAAAAAGAGAAACACCTTTCTAGATAGTTTTAATTTAATCAGTAACCATTTTTCTTCCATAATGCATGAAATCACAATTTCAGACGAATGAAGACCCTTCGGCCCATTTAATCTCATTCTTCTACAATATCTATATCACCGTACTCCCATCACAGAACAAGTATTTTTTGTTAAAAAAGCGAGTCAAGTATTTTTCCTCAACAAACCTGCCTGGTAACCTGTTCCAGGTTTTTCCTCCTCTGGGAAAATAAAAGCTGCATCTGTCCTATAACAGTCCTTTGTGACCCTAACCCTGTTTGTTCTTGTTCTGACATCTCAGTGCATCTGAAAGCAATGCTCCTTGATTATTTCAGACAGTTCCCCTTTGAGAAGTCTCTTTCCTCCCGCATCCCAAGCCTGAAGAGCCCTAGGTCGTCCAATTATTGCTTATCAAACTAAACCACTTCAAGCTTATGAATATGTATAAACTGAAGCAGAGAAGAGTTTGTGAGGGTTTGGATAACTGGGTGTCTGACACATGGAGAAACCCATCACCATACTTAAGAGTATCCAAACTAAGCTGAGATGGGGGGGTGGAGAGGGAAGGTTTAGCAAGGGGAAAAAAAAGCTCTCTGTCAAGAATAATTTTAATTCAGAAAGTAGTCAGCAGATCAAATATTCCAATACATCATCCACTCTTCCTCGCTATCCAAGCACTCTGCTGGAAGGTGTCAGAGGGTGGACAGGTACAAGTGTGATCAACAGATAAGAAGAGGTTTGCCATCATGAACTGTCGAGGCTCACATATGAGTAATGAACTCCAGGCTAGGAAATTGGGCCCTGTAGAAACCCTGTAGAATAAAGAGTCGAAAACCTTCGGGAGAAAAGGACAGTGAGAAACTGGAGACCAAAAAACAGGTATCATACACTAAAGTATTAATGAAATATTTACAACAGATCAATATTTAGGGTTTGAAGCAGGAAAAAATTGAAAGAAAGTGCTGTTTAATGACCACAACTATCTGCAGAAGAGCAGTGGCTACAATTTTATTGTGAATCTGAAATTAAGATGTTGGTGGGAATGAAAGCCCCTGGGATCTGCTTATCCATGAAGCCTTTCAGAGGATGAAGGTGCTGATTGCTGGATTGACGGGAGAATATGCTGGGTGTTCAGCCTCTGTAGCAAAAATGACATTCCAAAAGCCTCTCGTGATCCAGAGTTATGATGGTCCTGGCAACTGATGCCGTGGGCTTTTTGCAAAGATTTACAAAGGCTTGTTGGTGCCATTTGCACACACAGCACAAGAAAGTTAGCCTTTGGCATCAAATGCTCTATGGAAGTACTTCCCCACAGTGATTATTGATATAAAACAGTCTTTCTATGTCACCTCCTTTATGTAGACAGTTGTTGAACTGGTAGAAACGATATAGGTAATAGAGATGTTAGAGACATTTTTATAATTGACAGTGATAATTGATTACTGATGTTCAGTCCATTAATAGGTAGTAAATCAACTCAAACTCAAAATATTGTATTAGAAAGATCCAGTGCATCATAAAACACACTTGTTACTGCTAGGGGATTGTCCAATATTGAACAAATGTGTCACTTTCAAAAAAAAATTAGTATAAACTTCACAACTATACAGCATCACTACAGTAAAACTCACATAAATTGTATCAGCCCAAATCATAATATTTAATGTGAGTTAAGCGAAGTCTGAGTTGCAGGTAAACGTGTATAAATCATAAACAATTTAATCAATAATCTACATTTAATTGATTTAATTTCATCAATAATTTAAACTGCGCATGTGTAATTCAATGCAGCAGTAAGTGCGCACAGGGTGATGGTCGAAGAATGTTTCCTGCGATTCAAAGCAGCTTAACCCACCCGTCACCACATGGTACTTACTGGCAAGCATTGTAACTACATTGAATCATGGGAAATAGCGTTCTTCTGTGCACGTGGTGATGGATCAAGACTATGTTTCCGCAACTCAATGCAGCCAACCGGTAGCTGGGTATGCAGTGACAGTCAGGGGTCTTTTCCCGAGATTCAATGAAGCCAGTAAGTGTGGGAGTAATTGAAGACAGGGAGCAATGTTATGAGCTAGGAAATTATTAATATGACTGGTGCAAAGGAATAACTAGTTTTGATAGGAAACTGAATGGGACTCGGATGGATGTATGACTTGGGGTGCAGATCCCTTACTGTCCAGCACCTTGGGACGTCCTCCTGACGTCAAGGCTCTACACAAATGTCATTTGTTGTTTTTGTTGGACGATTATACAATTCATAAAGATAAGATTTATGCAAGTTTTATTGTATTCGTATATCTCACTGCGTCAATACAGAACAATTCACATTATTATAGTGCCTTTCAAGTCAGGACGATGTCCCAAGGCACTTAACAATAATAGCCTGGCACCCAAGCTCAGGGTGGGAGACAACGGGGGTGAGGAGAAAGATGGCTGAAAGTGCGGTCAAAGAAGTAGGTCTTGAGATGGACCTTGAATGAGGTGTGGGAGGAGTTTTCATTCATGCTTAAGAATGTCCACACAAGGTACATTCATGTCAGGATGTTGTGACAAGGTACTGGGCTGCCGTTATTCATATTGCACTTGGTTTCAGGACCATTGTGGCAGGATTATAAATGGTTGGGGTTATTTGTACTGAGCTGATCCCTCGTCTGTTGGAAGTATATATCAGTTAGGTTTACTCCAGGCAAGATAAGGTGTGGAATTAGATTCTTTTTATTGCACCACTCCTGAGATGATTTGAAAAGGACTTTAATAGAAATAACAAAAGCTTAATTGCATTGATTTAATGGCATGAAAGGCCAACCATGGCTATAAATACCCCATTCCTGTGTCACAATCAGCTATTTCAGGAAGGATTATGTCTTACTTTTTTTAGTCTTCAATTATATAGCGTTGGCTCAGTTACATCAGGGAAGAAGTCATTGCTGTTGCAAAACAGTACATCTATTGGATATATGAAGCTTCGTAGGGCTGACCAGGAACAAAGAGACTGTCACTCAGTTGTTTTGGGACGACAACAAGCAAAGTACAGGTTTTATGGATTTCATATAAACCCAGAGATTAAAATCCAACTTCCAGCAATTAACAAATCAGATATTAGGAAAGTGCTCAACAGGAAGAAGCAGATGATTAAACACCACAAAAGAGCAAGAGACTTTTATACATTCACAATAAAATTATGCAATTCCCAGCACTTGCAGATTAATGGGGAGTCCAAAATATCAAGAAAATGATCAAACTCAGAGCCTTTAAATGTAGCAAGTAGGGAGAGGAGCAGTGAAAAATCAGAAAGAAAACCAAAAAGATAGGATTATGAAACAAAAGACCTGGAGATCAGGAAAGAAAGGTTATAAATCAATTTTCCATTAAATAAAAAAATTCATAAAAGATTGAAAAAGCTCAAATGGTTTACTGTAAGTAGCTATAACTGTATCTGCATATAAACATGGGCATACTGAAACGTGCATATATGAAATGCACAAGAAATTGTAGAAAGATTCAACAATACTTACATTTGTTATTCCTCCTCTCATGTCAGGAGGTCATCTCAAAATTATTTTACAGGATTATTTTACAGATTACAGGATAATCTGTAAAGTGCAGCCAATGTGCACACATCAATAACCAACGTGACGTGAATGGCAAATTTTACAGACCAGTCACAGACCACATACAAGAGATTAGAATTTAGGAAATAAAATAAAGCTTCATTACTTACTTGAGTGAGAACATCCTGCTTCTGAGTAGCAAAAGAGGCACAAGAGAAGGTAATAGATTAGTGATGAGATAAATAGCAAAACATACTAGATAGAGAACAAGGAACACAAATGCACCTACACTCAATGCATTAACAAAATGAATTTAAAAAATATGCATAGTCCCTATAGAACTGCATTCATTTTAATAGTATTTTCTTCTCTTTCCTGCTACTGTCTCACATAAACCTGGGAGCTAAGTGTTTTGCCCACAAATATACAGTCAATTCACTTTACAGTATATTCTGAGTAGCGCTTTGAGACATCTAGAAGACATAAAAAGCGCTATACCAAATGTAAGGATTATTATTATTATTTTTATTCAGCACCAACATGTCTTTGCCAGTTCCCTTGAGCAAACCTTTCAGTCCCACGTACCTGCCATTTCTCCATACCCTTGTAGCTGACTGTTTTGAATTTCTGTCTAGTTCTGCTTGAATACTAATATGATTTTGCTCAACTACAGTTCCTGGCAGTACATTCCATATCCTAACTGCAGTGCGTGTAAACATTTCTCTTAACCTACCTTTACATGTTTACTAACAATCTGAAATTGATGACCTCCAATTACTGATTCGCCAACCAGTGGAAATAATTTCTTCCGACTATCAAAAACCCTCATAATTTTAAGGACCTCCATCAAGTCAGCATGTATTACAGGCCTTCTTTGTTTCAGTAAAAAACCAGTCTCTCCTCATAGACTGAACCACTCAATCCAGTATCATCTTAATAAATCTCCTCTGCAATTCCTCTATTGCCTTGACATCTCTTCTTAAGTTGGGTGACCAATACTGACATAATATTCTAACTGCAGTCCAACATAATTATTTAAATGTGTTTAGCATTATCGCTTAGGATTACTAAATAAATTTATAGAATATAAATGCAAAGATTCCATTAGCTTTTTTCACAGCTTTGTCCACCTGCCTTCCCACCTTGTAAGGATTTATGTACATTAACTTCCAAATCTCTTTACTCTTCCACTCTTAATATTTTACATCCAACATATATACTTGTTTCCTTATTCTTCCTCCTAAAATGTATAACTTCATATTAGTCTGCATTGAATTTCATTTGCCATTTCTCTGCCAAATCAACTAATCTGTCTATGTCCTCCTGAAATTGTTTAAATCTTTTTCATTGTTAGACACACACCATATTTTCACATCATCTACAAACTTAGAAATTGTGTCCCTTATACCAGAATCAGATCAATCATATGAATAGAAAAAAAGTAGTGGTCCTAACACTGACCCTGGGGACACCACTGTTTACATCTCTCCTTGTGAGTGTTTTATTACATTTACATGAGCCTTTTGGCCAACATATTTCAGTAATGGCAAGTTCTAAATAAAATATGCTCATCTATTTTGAGGTTTTCAAAGATCATTAGTTTCTACTTTGCTAAGGATTTAGTCTGTAATCTCATCTGCGCAAGGCAAGGATGATGTTATTTAGTTTCTCTTCTCGGTTTTATTCCTGATGGATTATGGTGTAATCATCGCACCTCACTGAACCTAAAGAGAGCCTTGTTTACTTGGAGACTCTTGGCTTCAATAATTAACATGCTGTAATATTCTGTTTCAATATTTAATAACCCATCCTGATGGTTATGATTGTGCTCTGTGGTAGCATAACATTGCCATTGTAATGCAAAATTTAGTTTACTGTTCAAAGGAAAATAAAAGCCTAAGGAAATATTATAAAAAGCCATGTAGTCTTCTTAGCTTGTTCCTCTGTTTGATATGACTAGATTATTCAGTACATTTCCATTTAGCAGCCGCATGGATGAGATTCCATGTTGGTTCTGCCTTGAAAGATCACATCAAAACTCCTCAGTGACTTCTCAGAGACATGCATGTGTGTTTGGTAATCAGTATTTTGGTTGTACCTTCCAATAATACATGCAGCACAAAGCACTAGTGACCACATTTCCCTTTATAACTGCTTAACATGCTCTAAGCCACACAATTATTTTCTAAACCAGCATCAGATTAGTTTAAAGAAACACCAGACTTAATTGGCTTATTTTCTTGCAGGAAAATTCATGAAAATTGCACTGCAAGCTTCCATGATTCTAAATAAAGCTGCTGCATTTTCCTTTTGGCACATTTTAACCAGGTCTATCCAGTTGTATCATGTAAATGGTTCCCCAGCAGCCTTCATATCTGGAGATGTGCGACCCATTTGTGTACATACACCCCAAACTGGAGGAAGGGACAAGGAATGAAACCACAATGACCCTGCAAGTACATAACACCTTTCACAGAGGATGAACATCTTGAGTGGGAGCCCTGAGTGGGGAAAGTGTTTGAAGGGTGTTGATTGAAAGCATCATGGTAGGTTTTTAAAGGAGTATCTTGTAGGCCGTAAGAAACAAATTCTTTCCAACTGGAATGCTTCATTGTCCCCACTCTCTGGAACTCCATTCCAGAGTCTCTCTGCCTCTCCCACCTTAAAAGTTATCTTTTCGGCCCCACTTTTAGCAGTCTTCTACCCCTCCTCAGTTTCCCCCTTCCCGGTCCCATTCAGCTGCTCTATAATTGTACATTGTAATTGTTTGGTATATTTCATCTAGTAAATAAAGGAATGAGAAGATCAGCATCTAAATGGTCTAGGCCTCGACTGATGTTGACACCATAGAGGAAAGTGGATAAGGTGACTGACTTCATTGAACACAGCAATTGCTCCACATTGTACCACTGGAGATTAAGGTTGCACAAGTAAAATGATGCCAGGCGGTTTTGAGCCAGCGTGCTGGTCAAATTTATAGTACAGCTGAATTATAGCCAAGATTTCCTGGTCTCCAGAATTTGAGTCTTCGACTTGTTTTACTCAGTCTCCTTCACCCCCTTCTCACTTCTCCAAGCCTCTCACCCACTCCTGTCCTGTGTAGATTGTCCTCATTTCAGATTGCTTTATTTTATGTTGACAACGTCCGCTTTTCCAATTCAGCTCCATCAAACTTTCCTTAACCCCAAATTAGTTAATAATATCAGACTCTCCTCATGCCAGGCCCTGTCTTCTGGAACATTCTCCCATATTATTTATCTAATTTCCTTTCTTCCTGCTTTTAAAATAAAAATAAAAATCCCGCGTAAACCGTGCCTTTGGTCAGTATCCTTAATACACTAAAACACCAGCTAGCCAGCCTAAGGGAAGGGGAGGGGCCGATCCAGTCTGGCGAGCCGTAATTTCTGGCTAAGTATAATCACAATTCTAGTACTGACATAGTCAGTACTAGCTCAGGGCTCTGTCTTGGTCTCCTCCTCTTCAATATCTACATGCTCCATCTTGGTGACATAATCCACAGACATGGGGTCAACTTCCACATGTACAACAACAACAAAATTACATTTATAGAGCGCCTTTCACTCAGGAGGACGTCCCAAAGCACTGAACAGTCAGGTGTCGGGGCCCGAGCATGGGGGAGGGGTGGTGTGGGGTGAGAGAAGGCAGAGAGGTGGGAGGGAGACCAAAGACACGGTCAAAGAGAAGGGTCTTAAGACCAGCCTAGAAGGACGCAAGGGAGGAAGCGAGGCGAAGGGACTGTGAGATGGAGTTCCAGAGTGTGGGGGCAGAAAGGCTGAAAGCCCGGCCACCGATGGTAGGGTGGGTCGGGCAGGAGACGTGGAGCAGGACGGAGCCCGCCGAACGGAGGGAGCGGGCAGGTTGGTAGGGAGTCAGCAGGTTAGAGAGGTAGGAGGGGCAAGGCCATGGATGGCCTTGAAAGTGAGGGCGAGGATCTTGAACTCGATCCTCTGGGGGATAGGGAGTCAGTGGGGTCGAGCGAGAGTGGGAGTGTTGGGTCACGGAGCCTGGTACGTGAGAGTACACGAGCTGCAGAGTTTTGGATGATCTGCAGCTTGTGAATGGATGAGTTGGGAAGGCCGATGAGGAAGAAGTTCCTGTAATCAAGCCTTGAGGTGAGAATGCATGGGTGAGGGTTTCAGCAGCCTGAGGGTTGCGGAGGTGATGGTAGGCAGTGCCAGTCATGGTGCGGATGTGGGGGCGAAAGGACAGTTCAAGGTCAAACAACACACCCAGGTTCCTGACTGGTTTAGTGAGGTTGAGTGTGCAACCGTGGAGGCTGATGCTGCCAGCGCCTGAGGTGTGCAGGTGCTGGCACGAGCCAATCAGGAGGACCTCGGTCTTGCTGACGTTGAGTTGGAGAAAGGTGGTCCTCGTCCAGGACTTGATGTCGGACAGGCAGTCGGTCAGGACGCCAACAGTCCTGGAGTTCAGGATGGAGGCAGAGAGGAAGAGTTGAGTGTCATCTGCATACATGTGGAAATTTACCCCATGTCTGCGGATGACATCTTCTTCCGCATGTACGCGGATGAAACCCAAATCTATTTCTGTGCCTCCACCCTCGACTCCAGGACCACTGCTGTCCTGACAGAATGTCTGTCAGACAGTATTATCTTCATCATCAACAACTAATATTTGTATAATCCCCTTCACGTCGGAAAGATGTTCCAGGGCACTGGACAATCAGAGGTTTTGGATGAGTCTGCATAATTTGTGTCCTTGAAGTTGATCAAGTCTTGGATGAGAGCTAACTTTCTACAGATGAATGTCAACAAGACCGAAGCTCTCCTGATTGGCTCCCGTTAGCACTTCCACACCTCAGGCACTAACAGCATCACCACACAGGGATGCACACTCCACCTTGCTAAGCCAGTCCAGAACCTTGGGGTTTTGTTTGACCTTCAACTATCCTTTGTATATCACATCCATGACCTGCTCTGCCTTACCCCACCTCCACAACATCGCCCGGCTCCGCCACTGCCTCAACCCTCAGGCCCCCGAAATCCTCACCCACACATTCATCACATCTAGGCTCGACTACACCAACTCACTGCTTGTCAGTCTCCCCAACTCTTCCCTCCACAAGCTGCAGATTAGAACTCTGCAACTTGTGTCCTTTCCTGCACCAGGCTCCGTGACCCCATCACGCCCACCCTCGCCCGGTTCCACAGGC